GATAGTATCCACTAAAGGTGAATATAAGGGAACCCATGAAGCAGGAATTCCAGTACTGGGTATATAGACCCAAGAGAAACACATACAGATGTTCTTCGTTTTACATTTGTAATAGCCAAAAACTACAAACAATCCAAATGTCCATCAGCAGTAGAATGGATAAATACAGTGTAATATATATATATAGTTTATACAATACTCTTTCACATAAACTATAATTAACTACAATTACATGTAACAACAATTATAAATATCATAAGCATAGTGCTAAGTAAAAGAAGGCAGTCAAATGGGTACATACTGCATCATTTTGTTTATGTGATGTTCAAAACCAGCTAAACAAATCTGTGGTGTTAGAATTCTGGATTACTTATTATTCTTGGCAGGGTGTACTTGAAAAGGAGGGAGAAGGCAACTTCTGGGGTTCTAGTACTGAAATATATATATATATATATATATATATATATATATATATATATATATATATTTTTTTTTTTTTAACGTAGTGAGTGATTATACTGGTAGGTTCACTTAATGAAAATTCATGAAGGCATACTTTTCTGTATGTATGTTAAACCTCAATTAAAAATTACATCAGATATAGGTATATATGTGTCTCTGTGTATGACACCTATATATACACATGGATGCACACACATATGGAAAATATAATGTACACGTATTATATACACACATAATAAGCGAATATTCCATCCCAAATGTAACCACTCCTGACCTACTCTATTGCTTTCTCCAGTCCAAGACTACTGCAAAGCTGTGTGCCCTAACTCCTCTGTGGTATCCCTGCAGTCTTCCCCTGTAGCCAGAATTAATTGTTAAAATGGAAGCTGGGTTGTATCTGTCCTTGACTCAACACTGGTAGTAACTTCACATGTCAATCAGAATAAAAGCCTCTGAGGATACATATGTCCTGACAGCCTATAGAAATAAAATCCTCCAAAGATGCATATACCCTGACAGCCTCACTACCATACCCATCACTTTTATTCCTACACCTTGCTTTAATTTTCCTTGTAGCTCTTATTACCAACAGACATACCATTTAGTTTTATTTATTTACTGGGGGCCCAGTCCATGGGTTCATGCACCGGTGGGGTCCCTCAGCCTGGCCTGCGAGGATCGGGCCAAAACTGGCTTTCTGACATCTCCTGAGGGGTCCCAGATTGTGAGAGGGTGCATGCCAGCCTGAGGGACCCCTCGGAGCTGGAGAGGGGCCATAGGAGGGCTCCAGGGCATGTTTGGACCTTCTCACCTAGTCCCAATTGGCTGGACCCCAGCAGCAAGCTAACCTACCAATCAGAGCATCTGCCCCCTGCTGGTCAGTGCACATTATAGTGACTGAGCAAAAGAATGCTCAGACACTTGGCATATTAGGCTTTTATTATATAGGATAATTAGTCTCTCCACCACTGGTATATAAGCTACATGAGAGCAGGGACCTTATCTTTCTGTTTATATCTCTAACATCTAGAACAGTGCCAGGCATAAAGTAGACAATGAGTGAATGAATGAATGAATGAATGGGCAGAATGTGTATGTTTAGTCTTTTTTTATAGGTTAAGAAACTGAAAGAATGAGAAGGAGACGACAAATGAAATTACTTAATGTTTTCGGGAGCACAGCCTAGGTCTGTCTGTCTGTCTGTCTCTCTCTCTCTCTCTCTGTCTCTCTCTCTCCCCTCCCTCCCTCTCTCACTTCCCATTTCTCCCTCTGTCCTTCACCTCCCCCAAATCCACACATGCACACACACATGCACGTACAGGCATAGGTACAAGAATGATATAATAGAATAATTCTTTTTATTGATGAAAGTAAGAATGTAAACGACGACCCTGTTCAATATAATTTATAGCCACTTTACTCACAGTATAGTCATAAAGTGCATTCAATATTATATGTACGTATGTGTATAGGTACAGAGATTATATAATCATAGTAGTTCAGAATTAAATTAGGATAGCATCCAGGTAAAGATTCATTTTACTGAAATGGTCATTTTTATATGAGATTTAGTTTTTTGGATAAATAGCACATGATAGTACATAATATACAATGATAGTAAAAAAAAACTGTCAATTTCCTTTCATATATATATATATATATATATTAGACCTAGAAATGCTCCCTGTGGCATTTGCATAAGAAAAACTTTCAAACAAAATCAGAACATTTTTTAAAATCCTGCAACAATCAAAGACTTTTAAAGCCCTGGAGATGAATTTTTTGTAAGTAATTGAGTTGTTTCAGTCAGAAGTCTCACCTCCCCGTTCTCAGAATGACTAGAGCCCCCAGAACAGACTAGAGTGTTTAAGGTTAATTTCTGTTTCCATATAGATATCAATTATGTTTTTAAAGGATTACCCCGTGGGATCTGCCACTTGGCAGCTTATCTAAAAACTAGCTAAATGTGCAAATTGTGCATATGGGGGTGGGAAGGTCCAGTTTAGTTGTCAGCCTAGTTGATCCTTCACTATTGGTTTAAAGAAAAAAAGAAGAGTTTTAGGCCCTTTCAATTACTAAATAGCTGACTATACAGTTTTGTTGGTTTGTTTTTTAATTGAAAAAATGGGAAGCTTAGTAATAAGACCCCAATATGTGCTCAACTGCTAGTATTAGTCCTTTACCTCTTTCCTCTGGGAGAGCAGTTAAGCATAATCAAGCCTATAACTTTAAAAACAGATTAAATACAAAAATTAAGTCTGAGATACATGTAGTATAATGAGGCCAATGTCAGATCATTTGTTCATCAAATAGGTTAACATCTTTTAATAAACAGAACATGGTGGTTAAAGGAGTGATGGCTTCCTGTTATACTTCTAAGTGAGTACAAAATAATCACTAATGTCCGAAGAGAAAGCAATGCCAAAGTTCATTTTGAAATTCAAACTTACAGATCACAAAGGGGTAGTATGGATTCATGAGTACCGGTGCCTAACTTCAATTTGAGAATTGTGGCTTTATCTTGACCCCCACGAGTTGGGAGCTGGGTAACCTAGGGCAAGTTCCTGAAACACTGTGAATCTCAGCTACATAATGATGTAACATGAGAGTAAAAACATCTACTTTGCATGGTTCTTGTGAAGATTAAATGAGGTCTTAGTTCTAAACTGTTTTGTAGAATATGTTATGATCGTATATAAGATTATTATTGTTCTTAATACATTGAATACCCTGTTGTCTTCTCTTGACTTCCTAAAGTCATTACTCTAAGGTTTAGCTAAAGTTAGCTGTCATCTTTGAGGTCTGCCTATCCCTACTGTTTTAGATTAGGATATTTTAGGATGGTTTTCACTAAGTTAATGAAAACTTTTTATATGTTCCATTTATTTTTTTTAAATATATATACAAGTTTCATAGAGGAAAGGAGAGGGGAGAGAGAGAGCAAGAGAGAAAGAGAGAAAGAGAGAGAGAGAGAGAGAGAGAGAGAGAGAGAGAGAGAGAGAGAGAGAGATAAGCATCAATAGATGAGAGAGCATCATTGATTGCCTGCCTTCTGCATGCCCCCTACTGGGGATGGAGCCCATAACCCGGTCATGAGTCCTGACCGAGAATGGAACTGTGACCTCCTAGTTCATAGGTCAACGCTCAACCACAGAGCCACACTGGCTGGCTCCTATGTTCCATTTATTAATCAATCTGCCTAAATTTCACAACAAAATTATGGCCTTCCCTGAGATGCAAGTTATTAATGCTGTACATGTATGAGCAAGCAGTTCCCCAAGACTCTTTAGGGTAGGAAGATTGGAGATGGAGATTAAAAAGTGAAGGGCCGGAACCAGTTTGGCTCAGTGGATAGAGCATCGGCCTGCGGACTGAAAGGTCCCAGGTTTGATTCCAGTCAAGGGCATGTACCTTGGTTGCTGGCACATCCCTATTACGGGGTGTGCAAGAGGCAGCTGATCGATGTTTCTCTCTCATCAATGTTTCTAACTCTCTATCCCTCTCCTTTCCTCTCTGTAAAAAAATCAATAAAATATATTTTAAAAAATAAAAAAAAAGTGAAGGAGATTTCTTCCTTCTACACCCCAGGATGGACACTTTCACATTTTCCTATATAATTTCTTTTCTGAAATAGAAAAAGTGCCTATCTAATGAACACTTATTCTATGCCAAGCACTGTGACATGCATTATTCATGTAATCCTCACAATATGCTAATACATCCTGTACTGGTATTGCCACTTATAGACAAGAGCACTATAATTAGAATAATTAAGTAGCTTGACCAATGTCACATACCTAGTAAGAAGCAAAGTTAAGATTTGAACCTAAACCTGCCTAATACATTTCCCAGTCTTTTTCCATTTGTTATTTACCTCTTACATTTTAACTTTGCATGTCTATGCTTGCCTTTCTGTACCTTTATACTTTCATCATTGGTGTTCCTGTAATGAGCAGGGTAGAGGCCTATAACTAAGATGATGAAGGTGTGGTCCCTGTACGTAAGGGACTGTTATAATCCTGGCAGGAAGATGAGAAGCTAACAAATCTCTATATGACATGGAAAATTTTAAGAGTCCATAAGGGATAGGCATTGGTCTCCCCAACTGTCACAGGGGAATAATACTCTATACAGCAGTTGTTGGAATAGATTGAAATGCTTGTGTCAAGTGTTTGGCAAAGATTCTAACTTATAGTAAGTGCTCAGTATATGGAATATATATTGTTGCCAGATAGTCCCATGATAATAACTAGGATACAAAGCTAGAAAAGCAAATTGGCGTCAAATTTTTGAGAGCCTTGAATGCCAGTCTAAGAAGTTTGGACCTTCAGCTTGGTAAAAACCATAGTGCCAAGGTCAGTAATCATTCTGAAAAGAAATGAAAGCTGATGTTATTTCGCGTGACCTTTCAAAACTCATTGTGAGTGAGATGGGATTGGTGGAACCAGTTGGAGCTGGTTTAAAGGACTTTCGTATTTGATGTACTCACAGGAAAGATGATATTTGCAAGTTTGATGGCCTCTACTTTTTTTCCACAGTGATTAGTGAACACCAACGGCAGGAACTGGAGTCTGTGAGCTACTCCTCTCGCTATGCTCTGGGCCTCTTTTATGAAGCTGGCACGAAGATTGATGTCCCTTGGGCCGGGCAGTACATCACCAGTAATCCCTGCATACGCTTCATCTCCATTGATAATAAGAAACGCAATATAGGTCAGTACCCCCATTATTTCCTTAAATACGGTAACAATGGTGGGTGTAGATCATGAAAAATGCTGTTTAATTGAGTGTTGCCATTCTGCACAGAGCAAGCATTTAACTCCAAGCCACAGGGGATAAAACTTAATGTCACATTTGGCCAATGATACGATACACGGCGAAACCAGCGAAGTTTTTGCAGAAAATCACTTCCATCATGGTTTGTGTTACCGAGTTCATAAAAATCATATCTGGAGGTTTAAGATTTCAAAATGGCTCACGTACCTTGGCTTTCATATGGATTTACCTATATGCAAATGTATTTCTCTCGTGATTTGTTTCTCGGTGGAGTTTGATTTTTGTTGGGTTTTGTTTTTAAAATTTGTTAAGTGCTATTCTTATTTTACTTCCAAGGCTAGGAAAAAAAAAAGTGAGTTTTGACAGTGTTATCAAAACCCTTCACTTTAATATAATTTTACTTATTTAATTTTCTTTTGGGAGACTATATAAAATTACTTTGTATATCATGTAACCAAATGATAGGTAAATGTTTCATAAGAGCTTTACCAGAGTGGGATAAAATCTGTACTCCACCCTTTTTATTGAAGATAGTTATACAAATTAGACTTGAATTGCAAGAATAAACATAACTGATTCATTTCAGGCATAAAGGTGAACGTATATTCTTATTTGTAGGATTGTGGTGATCCCTGTGATACAGCTTTTTTGTGGACTGAATTGCAATAATCTAAAATTACAGAATTCTTGAAGGGGATCATCATTTCAATCTGTTACAGTGTTTTATGATGCAGTGATGGTTTCATCAAGCCATTAGTTAGAAGTCTTGCTTGATAAAATCACCGTCTAACGTCTCGTGGCTTGCCAGAACTCTATAATGATAGAACTGGGCTGGAGCATAGTTTTTTATCAGAGCACATGATCTTAGAAAAATGTTTCTTTTATAACTTAAAACCCCCTCAGGGCTGGACTGTTTATGTTAACATGATACCACATATATGTACAATCAGCAGTTCATGAAATGCCCTTTGACAGCCATGAACTAACCAGTTTTAACTATAACTGGTTTGTTCGAAGAAAAGAAAAATAGCCTTTGATCTTCTTGTGTTATATGTCATGAATTAGATACTATCCTTTGTGTATTGCTTCATAAGACATGATATCTTTTAGGATGTATTCAGTAATATATAATAGTAGATGAAAACAATTCAAGCTTGTTTAAACAACACAAAGGACATTTGTTGTTATCTGCTATGGACTGAATTTTTATCATCCCAAAATTTATATATTGAAGCTTTAACCCCTAATGTAATTCTATTTGAAGATAAGGCTTTTAGGAGGTAATTAAGGTTAAGTGGGATCATAAGAGTGGAATCATAATCCAATAGAATTGGTGGCCTTATAAATTGAAGAAGAGAGCTCTCTCTCTCTCTCTCTCTCTCTCTCTCTCTCTCTCTCTCTCTCTCTCTCTCTCTCCACCCTTGTACACATACGAAGGTGCAACTGAGGATCATTACAAGGTGAGAAGGTAAGCTGTCTTCAAACCAGGAAGAGAATCCTCACCATGACAAGTCAGTCAGTACTTTGATCTTGGACTTCCCAACCTCTAGAACTGAGTGACATACATTTCTGGTGTTTAAGCCATTTATCTATGGCATTTTGTTATGACAGCCTGTGCTTACTGATACATCTCAGAAGAAGAAATTAGGGGGATTTCAAAATTGGTTGATTAAAGTACTGAGCAATATCTTCAAGGACCTAGATTTGACCTTCTCTGCTCTCTCTTCCATTCTTGATGTTGACATCCTCAGAAGACTGGTAGCGAGATGGCAGTGACTGCAGGAGTCACATCTAGATGAACGACATGTTTAGGAAGAAGAGGAACTATTTCTGTCTCTGCCCCTTTCTAAGAATCAAGGAAATCTTTACAGAAACCTCTCAACTGACTTCATCTTGTATCTCATAGGTCAGAATTGGATTACTCGACCAGTCTGAAAGGAATCACTGGCATTGCCTGTGTGTGTGTGTGTGTGTGTGTGTGTGTGTTTTGGGGGGGTGGGGAGGGGGAGATGCGGTAATGAGCCTAGACAAACTAAGATTCACTCTTGAAACTACTATTAGGATAATATTCTCTTTAGTCATATAATAAGTAGAAACCCGTAAAAATAAGTTTGGGGTTTTTTTTAGGAAGAAAGAACAGTGGTGAATGTTGGGTTGGCAACAAATAATGCCTATTACCTTCAAGTAGAGTCACATCTTATGTGGGAGGTAAAGTTCTAAAGTTGGCACATAAAGAAAAGAACCATGTATACTCAAAATTATCTTTGAACATCCCTTAAAACTACATGACATTTTGGAGAGTGATGTAACTTGCAGTAAATTGAGTATTTTTTCCAACATTCAATAGATTTCAGTTTCTTTGGGTGAGGCCTGATGAGATACTTGGTTTGCATTTATAGGGCAGAGTGCTATTTTCTACTATGAAAGGAAAGAAAGAAATAGCAGTCATACTTCTTAACAGATTAAAGTCTCTCTTACAAATGGAATGGGTTGGTGGATGAAGGCACCAATGCTACATAATGCAGTAGCAATTTATAAAATCAGAGTCATTCAAATTTGAAATAGCGTAGCATAAAAATATTAATAAATTCTCACATGATTGGAAGCATCTGAAAAAATAGAAATACAATTTTTTTTTAAATGGTAACAATCACACAATTTTAAAGCTAGAGGGCCCGGTGAATAGGAAACCGTGTTTTTGCTACCGCCGATGGTGGTGCCACTTCAGACAGCAAAGAAATACCTGCATTCCTATGTCAGTTTTATGAAAAATTAATCTTGGATATGCAAGTTTTAAATTATGGGAGGCCTCCAATAATGGCATTCCCTAACATAAAATCTAACTGCCTTGCATTTAAACTATTTTTTCTCAATACCTGGGGCAGGATGTGAAGTGTGTCTTGGTGAATCCACATCATGTAAGTATCCACAAACGACAATTCTACTGTATTTTTTTAAGTATATTTTATTGATTTTTTTACAGAGAGGAAGGGAGAAGGATAGAGAGTTAGGAACATTGAGAGGAGATAAAATGGCGGAAGACTAGATGGACAGGTTCTGAGCCTTATCCCGAAGCAGAAAGAGAGAGCAGCTGAGGGTTGTGCTGGGAGTGTTTGTTAGCAAGCTAAGAGACAGGTGAACTCCAGGAGAAGGTGGGGGGCTGCTAATCAGGATGCCCCTGACAGGGAGGCACCCACGGTAGGGCTGGGTCCCCTCCCAGAGCTACATACTGGCTTAGACGGGAAAATCTCGCCTTCTTTAACAGAAAAGTGGAGAGTTAGGAACATCAATGAGAGAGAAACATCGATCAGCTGCCTCCTGTACACCTCCTACTAGGGATGTGCCCGCTACCAAGGTACATGCAATTGACCAGAATCAAACCTGGGACCTTTCAGTTCAATGATCTATCCACTGAACTCTACTGTATTTTATTGATATTGATATTTAACTAGACCAGTAAAAGTTGTCTTTTATGTCACTAACTCTATCCCAAACCCACCCTTTTTGGGGGTGTTTGATTAAATCAAGAATTAATGTTATAATACTCAGACTCAACTAATAAAGAGAAACATTTGTTTTCTGTCAAGGTGAGTCAACAACAAGATAGACAAAGGCTAACCGGGCTAGGGCTGAACCTACATGAAGAGAGCTGGGGGATAAGGGATTAATAACCCAAACCAGACAGAGGTCAAGGTGTAATCATTTGTCAGGTGTCAGGAACACACAATACATGCAGGAAGCCAGACCAGAACCAAAGTCTCCTTAGGCAGAGGAGCTCATTTCCAATTTGTAAGAGACTCAACTTCAAGTACAAATAGTTATGGGTATGACCAATACACTTGGGTTTCTGATTTCCAAAATATGTTCAATTGAACACCAGTTCCTTGAGATTCAGGGAAGGGGCTTTGTCATCAAATATGTTTGCAAAATGCTACTGATTTTAACCCTGAAGGGTTGAGGATGAAAAAGTTTAAAAATATAAACTTAGTAAATAATAAGTGGCACTTATTATTAAGTGGCACTTAGTAAATAATAAGTCAGTATCTAGGATACCTATTAATATAATTCATTCCAGTATTTAATTTGGATATTATATTCTCTAAAGCAAAGGATATAAATAAATGAGCCTAATTTAGGTGAATACAACCCCCCATCTCTAGTGTAGGTAGGAGTCAAGGTGGCATAAATAAAATGTATAACTTTTCTTGAAAATGATTAAGCATCTTTTCCTGTTCACCATCTGGAAGAGTGTTAATGATTAGTAAAAGACCACTACGCAGCAATCTGAAGATATTAACACAATCTGAACTCTAGAAATATGATGAGCAATCACCATAATTACGTAGCTTTCAATACCTCAAAGGATATAATCAATCCATCCAAAAAGAAAACCAACAAATGACTAAACTTTTTCATTGCATGAAATTTATATTTTCAAGGACTTTATTATTAGGATCCTTGAGTAACAAACACTAATATAACATATATTGCCTTTAATAGCTGTTTTACAAAAGATGCAGAAATGTTATTCCATATAGCTACTTATTACATTAACTCTTTATAAAAGACAGGAACACAATATGAAATCCTATAAAGAACTGGGATGGGCCCAGGGTCTTACATCCAATCATCTTCTGTGACTTAAGAGAGTTCCTGGTAATTCCAATTAAGCAGATAACAATGCAATAGACAGCACAAAGGGGTCTGCCTTGGGATTTGAATAAATGTTGAATTATTTGTTCATAAACTTGCAGAAAATTCAATCCAGATAGGTAATATTTTATAAGAAGAACAAAAAGAGAAAAGGAAGAATTTTTAAAGGGGGGGGGGGGGAGAAATGCCCTAAATGGCTCAGTATATAGAGCATCAGCCTGTGGATTCAAGGGTCCCAGGTTCGATTCCGGTCAAGGGCATGTACCAAGGTTGTAGGCACATCC